TCATTTTCTGTGATAGCTGATGTAAACTTATGTGTTCTGTCAGCATTAAGCTGACAAGCGAACATATATATTAAAAGATAAGTCAATCCGATTTCTATGAACTTATTGAAAATAAACTACAAAAAACGTGCTTGTCTTACTTACTTACCTACTTACGTCTGTTACCACTCATGGAGGAGCGAACGCCTCCCACCAGCATTCTTCATCCACCTCTGTCCTGAACAATCCTTTCCAGTTGTTTTCAGTTGCTATTCATCCTTCTGATGTCTGTTTCCCATTCTCGATGCAGTGTGTTCTTCGGCCTTCCTCTTTTCTATTTTTCTTCAACTCATCACAATGACCTGATTTAACGCCGTTGGAATAACTGAAAAAAACTCGCTTTTATACGACATAAGTGAATGCAAATGAAGTGATTTAAATATATCACCTTAAGACTATCCTAAGTCCAAATGTAAAGAAGCACGAGGTTCTGAGTGGATTTATCATTACGTCATATATCTTAAAGTAGCAATCCACAAAACAGAGTTCTGTACAGAAATAAAAAATTATGGTGTAGTAAAGACAAAATTTGATACTCTTGAAGTCCTAATAACAGAACTACTAGTGTATGAAACCATTTACTGGTAATTGAAACTCATACATTAGTAATACTGTTCACTGTGATAGCGTTTTACATAATTATATACATAGGCTATATAAATGTGTATATATCGATGCGATTATTATTTTTATGAGAATCCTCTTGTTAACTTCATCTTTTCCTACTAATATGATTTTCTAAAATCGACTTAAACAAACGTAAATCGAAAAAACGTTTGTCGAGTACATTGCATAATCAAAAAAGTTGTTCTGTTTGTAGTATTTAAACATTAATTGTACTTTCTCCTGCCGTGACGTCTTGTTGCCTTAAAATTAATATTACATGAATTTACTTTCAATAGTCAACAAATGAATCTGTAAATGAAAAAGGACAAATAATCTAATTAACGGTTAATTTGTTGAAATACAAAACAATTTGTGAAAGAAAACGATTCAGTAAATGTGTATTGTAAAGTGTTTATTGATGAAACTAAAACAGACGAAATGGACTAAAATTAACTGAACAAAAATATAACAAAAAAAACAAATCATGTGAAGATGTATAGAAAGAACGTTATATCAGTTTTATAGTCTTAGATTTAGATGTCAAAGCTCAATGAACAGATGGCATTTTATTCATTTACTCGCAAAGTGTCGTTTAAGAAAGTAGAAGATATAAATAATTTGCAAATATTCAATCATATGTGTCTCCAAAGCATTTCTCACGCACAGTGGAACAACTGAATATGCACGGTTGAGACTAGATAGAAGGTACCATGCAGATATGGTATATCGGTTGATAATCTTGTGAATCATCATTCGATGAGATACCTTATATATGTATTATTTTTACCTGACCACCTGATATCTGAATGTTTATTTTAACTGGTATAGAAATGGCTCTAAAGCGCCAAGAGATGACGATCAAACCAAGGCTTATCATCAGCTTGTAAAGTCAGTGACTGATGAATTCAGACTACCCAGTTGAAGTCCTCACGACAAGGGCTTGTATACGTTGAAAGACTAAGCTCATAATTGGTTAGGATGACCAAAATGTACTTATTTTTGCTACTCCTTAGATATCAAGTTTCAATATTGTTTCATACCTTATATTTCTTGAATTCATTCTTTCTTTTCTTAACTTATTCTTTAATCTTTAGTCTTCCTCGCATTCTCTGGTACTGTTGTTATCTTCTCTCTTTTGCTGTTTATCTTATCAAGTTCATTTTGTTGTGTTGTGATATGACAGTTTGAGGTTTAGTACATTTATGTCAGTCTCTACCTTGATTATTACTGACTGATTCACTGATAACAACAACAAATTTACTCAACTAGGATTTATCAAATGTTTACTAGTAAATTATATTTAGATAAATTTTTCGAAAATACGATTTGAAACCATGACTGATGTCGTAAATAACCCATCAAGAACATTCTACGCAAAATATTCCATATCATAATATGATTAAAATAAAAAAAAGCTGAAGCAATAGGATTTGGCTAAATATTCTGGAAGCATTTAGTGTCGTATATGAGCACTGTAGGCAAATGATACAATTGTACAGGACTCTTTGATTTATCAATAGTTCTTCACTTAGTGTCTGTTTATTAATAAAAAAATATCCTGATACTAATCAGTATATGCTCACTAGTGACTGGCTTCAAGAGGTATTTCCTGGAGTTCTAGTGAGAAGCCGTGACCAGTGGAGTTCAACTGGGTCTGTTGTGAGATATCAACTCACCGAAGACAATGGTGGATGTGTCACCCAATTTCGTAGATTATTTGAAGTTAAGCATTAGCACCATTGGATGCCGGCTTAGTGGGCTAGAGGCTAGGCGTCCGCGCGCGAGACCGATTGGTCCTGGGTCCGAACCTCGCAAGATGAGATCGTGGGTGCGTACTGCCAAGAAGTCCCACAATAAGATGAAACGACCATTCAGTTTTTCCATGTTTTCCATGGTGATCTAGCTACAACTGACTCATGATCTCAACTACTGAAAATTATTTCTTCTAATTAATTTAAAAATTTGCTCACAAAATATCTAGTAAAAACAAGTGAAGGTGTTCAATAATAAATTTCAAATTAAAAGCATTTATTTTAATCAGTTAACATGCATTCAATTAAAGAACTGGTTATCATACTTCTTTTTGATCACATCGATTTCTTCAAGACTCATTTCTTCTGAATATAAATGTAAGAAAAAACGTTTTAAATAGAAATCTTACTAGAACACACTGATTAAACTAAATCAAAACGATTCAAACATTTCATTATGTCAGTCTATTTTTCTGTCCATGACTCTTATTTGAATAGTTATTGAACATGGAAATTAAATAGATTTTTAAAAATTCACAAAAAATAGAAAGTTTTCAATAGCTGAATTCATGAGTTGATTTAAGCTAAACCACTATTGAAAACTAGAAGCACTAGACGGTTATTTTGTCCTAGTACGAAACTCCTCTGGAACGAGCACCCACGATCCCGCGCGCGGGACTCAAACCTAGGATCATTAGTCCTTCTCGCGAATGCTTAAACTTTAGACCAGTGAGCCGACATCCAACGGTGCTAGTGCCTAGCTTCAACCAATTTTCATTTAAATTACTTCATATAGGTTTCGTAACGCTTGTTTGTTTACTAGTTTACAGTGTATGGCATTGATAGACATTTAAATCTGTTGAGACTGTTGTATACCAAAAGTAATTTAACTGTGACTAGTCCATTTCCAATAGTAGTAAAATATACATAATTTGGAATCATGTAAGATCGTTCCTGCTCAGCTATGTTCAAATAAGTTCAATTTTGTCAGTCAGACGTTTTTTCTATATGTTTATTATAACCGCAGAAATTGATTCATGAAACAATGGGAAACTAAGATTAAAATAACGCATGGAAGAGGATAATAATCTGAAATATATGACATTACCTACTACCCAGTGATTAATCAGTCGAGAATAACGACTAATTGTAGATAATTATGTTATACACCATGTAAAAACATGAAAAGGACTTTAATCAACTATATTAATAAATAAACGAACTGTAATGGAATAGTATGATTAATCATAGGATAACATTTACCGTCAAAGTGTTGACAATATTCTGGTAACATACTGAACAAATAGCACGCCAGATGCTAAATGTCATAATAAACAGATGTCATACCAAATTAATACAAAAGGATGTTACATTCAATAGATCTCATACAAATATTATTAGGAATTAAAGTAAATATCGACTTGAAGCAATATCGTCCTAAATCAAATAATGATATAGTTTATTTTTTCTTGACCATAATACTACTACAGAAGAAATTTCAAAATTACATACTGGGAGAGTGATATTTGGTACAAACCTTTGAAAAAACAAACTCTTAAACTGTTTTATCAAACCTGATTAGATCAACAGAAATTTATAGATTATAGTGGCTGGTCCTATGTTGAGCTCACATAGCTTATTTTAGCTTCTGAAACAATTTATCCATTCTTCTCAAGCTACATTTGGACCTTTTTAATTATTCACTTATCAACCGTGACTGTTTTTATTTGAGCGTATGTGTGTGTGTGTATCTTATCCTACTCATCACATGTACGTAGCTTATTTTCGTGTGATTATAAATATTGATTAACACTTGATTAAATCGAGTTAGCTCATATGCCTTCTCTTTAGTGCATCATTTCGTTTCACTTTGTTCCTTTGATCGTCTGCCTGGATCAATGATTGTACAAAATATACGTATTCGAAATCCTTTTTTTATATTTGACTTGTTTTAATTCTGTTATTCACTAACGTGAGTTAAGTCAATAATTATATACGAGGATAGTCAGGATGTATATTTTGACAACAATTATTCTTACGATCTAATTGGAGTCAGATATAGGGCCACTAAAAGATTTACACGTAATACCATTTAATTGCATTGTTTTTGTTACAAAAAACGTAATTAGAATTTAACTTTTCTCTGTTTACATGTTAACAGCAATAAATATCACTGTAATTGTATTTTTCAACCAGATATTTTGCTGAAAAATATCTACTCATATTGTTGATCGTGGCATGGGGCTCTTTAATACTATACATTCATGATACGATCAGAAATCGAGCCCAGAACTATTGAATCAATCAATGAATGATTCACCACTGGGTTGGGTTATTTTGTTATAATTCCAACTTCAGTCCGTTGAAAATGTAACATGACAAGCATACGGTGTGATTGATGATAACTCTTTTATTCCCTAGGTGTTTGAATTGTATCAGTTATGATTACAACTACGGAAACATTTAAAATTAAGTCACTAATAAGTCAACCATAATCGTTTAGTTGAACAAAGGTTTTTGAGAAATCAGTTTAATTTTTTGGTTATATTCGTCTTTCGATTATTTAACTTTGGTTACTTGTGTTTTTTTGTGTTTGTTATACAGTGAATTGACCATCTTATATCCCGAATCACAATGATACCGGATACCTGGAAATATTCTTTGCTGTTTCTATTGACAACCATCTTCTACAATACATTAATCTCAGCATTATTTTATCACGGTAAGAATTCAAATAACATATTCATTTTAAATTAGAATTTGCGACTTTTTTAACTGAGTACTTGTTATAACTGTGTGACAGTAGCAGCTGATTTGAGGGGGGGCGAATTATCGATCGGACCAAAGACGCACAGACACGTAGAACGACCTAGAGTTCTGATTGGTCCCGCTTCCCTATCTAGCCCAGCAGTTGAGTCCAGAACGCAAGTCACAGCCTCGGATATATGAATCATTATATTTCAAGCACACTTTGTTTATATACCAGTCAAACAAACCACATCATACCATAAAATAGAAAATAACATTATACAATATTGGCCAGTAGGAAAATGACACGTTAAATAAGTATTGACCAATAAGAAAATAATACCATGTCCAAGTCCAAGAATAGCATCAGGCTAATAGGATAATTTCTGGGATATTTTCCTGAATATCCCAACAGTACTATGACTTACATTTTCTAAAATACCATACATCAACAAGTACAATTAACACTAAACTATTCTAGTCATTTAATACTTGATTTATTTACGAAGTTTTTGACGATGATTTAACAATCATGATTTATCTTTACATTACTTACTTACTTACGCCTGTTACTCCCAATGGAGCATAGGCCGCCGATCAGCATTCTCCAACCCACTCTGTCCTGGGCATTCTATTCTAGTTCCAATCAATTCTTGTTCATTTTTCCCATGTCTATTTCCATTTCCCAGCGTAATGTGTTCTTTGGTCTTCCTCTTTTCCTTTGGTTTTGAGGATTCCATGTGACGACTTGTCTTGTGACACAGTTGAGTGCTTTCCTCAATGTATGTCCTATCCACTCCTCCTGGAGTCCCTCCGGGAGCTACTGCCGGTCCCAAGCCCGGATAAAGGAGGAGGGTTGGGCATGGGGTTAGCTACCCCATCCCGTAGAAAACTAAATCCCTAAAAAAACGCTAACCAGAAAAAAATTATGATTTATCTTTAATTAAAACAATTTTAAGTCGAAATAATACAATCGAATAGGTGTTGTTATAATGTCTTTTGAATGAAAGATTATTTTATAGACAATTCCATAATGGTTAGGTTTCTTTCCATAATATATTTAAAGTACTGTTCCACCATCTCTATTGCTGCATCATCTCAAAGTATTGTTCCCTCATGCATTCATATCCAGATCTTAAGACTTTATACATATTCATTTATCTTGTAGTAAGCAACGTTCTGAGTTTTATGTTGTAAAATATAAAACGAAAAGATTATATGTTGCTATGTCGAAGGAAACTATTTAAAGTAACTAAGTAAGGATTACACTGCACATTAGAACTCATGGAAAAATGATTATTTTAATTGGATACTGATGTTTATATGCAATGAATGTTGTTCATTGATTTTCACAGTTTTTACACTTATCAATCTATGTTAGCCATAAGCTAAGTAATGAGATAAGTCACTTTTTTTTAAAAATAAAACAGATTATCATTAAGAGGTTGGAAAGATCATTAAATTTCGTTGAGATCATGAACTAATCAAAGTTAGAACATTAGTGCTTCCAGGCTTTCAACAGTGATCCAACTAAGATCAATTCATGAACTCAATATTTAACCAGCTAGAAATTATTAAGATTACGTGACAGGAAACTGAATAAATGGTTTCTAAAGTTGTTTTTTTAAATACAGAAACTATTGACTATCCAGTTTTAACTCATTTTGACGTTAGGATCAGTTAAGTGAACAGCTTTTCACACTTTGAATTCAGTCAGGATCCTTTTGAAATAGAACAAATAAATTACTTTATCTCCAAAATACATTCCTTTTATTGAAAAAGTAAGTATCGAGAGATATAAGTCAGAGGAACATGGAATTTAAAAGAAATACAAGATAATAAATTCATTCGCGACCTTAGTTAACATGAATATGTATCTGTCAAAGCAATAATGAAATTGTATGTTGGCATGACGATCTTACAAAGTTTACATGTTTATTAATTCTACATCGAACGTATTTGTATGTATTATATTCAATTCCAATAAACCATTCATAAATTCTCCATAACGCCTTTCAGAGAATAAGCGAAAAAATTTTAATTCATTAAAATATTAGTCATCTATCATTGGAATTGTGATAAAACTTTCCATCAGGTAGTTTTAAAATAAATGTTTATAAAGATTGTTCTCAAAGACTAACACTAATTTGTTATGAAAAAATTCATTTATATCCGAAATGTAAACCTAATAAATCTGTGAAAAATTTCTAAAATCTCCACAAACCCCTTCTGATAATAAATTGTTCGTAAATATTTATCCTACTTATAAACGATTTGAGTAGCTAAACAAAAGTGTCGTCATAAATGGACTAGGATTTTCATTATTAACAATGATTAATAATTTACAGTCTGGTGATTCAAAGATTGTTGAATTTTACTGAAAACATGAACCGATCTGGTTGATGAACCATTGAAAAACGGTTAGTACTGGACGATTACTTATCCTTAATTTTAGATTATACAATGGTGTAAACTCATAGTTCTAAGTTGGATCAATCCCAGTGTTCTACGCTGAAGACGGTATTATTGATGTTTAGACGGAACTCATGGGTCATATTTTAAATTTATGATGAACTTATGAAGTAATACAACTGTCAAATAATACCACTGTGAATTAGCTGGCATCAATCATTCGATGGTCTTTCATATGCGTTAAGTCTGAATGAATTTCTAAATTACTCCAGAGTGAATTTTATATATTCGTATGTATTTTCGCAAACAATATACTGAATACTTCGCCCGATATTTATCTCTAGGTGCTATTGTAGTATCGCAAATGCAAATTATTACGGGTATTTTTCAAAGACTGTTTGTTCCGGTTACAAAAATAGTAAATTATCAGTTAATTATTAGTTTAAACAGTCGGTTATTATTTACCCGTGTAAATTTTACGGAGAAAAAATTCCACCGAATATGTAGTGTGAAACTGTTATATGTTTCCAAGGTTAGTTACTACTACTTGATCGCCAGCAGCAGCGTTTCAGAGAGAGCCAGTTGAATGTTTTGGACAAGTTACGCACGCGACTCCTATATCTCCCGTGTTTTGGAGATGTGAAAGAAATTGATGAATTAATTTCTCACTTGCATACCGAACTCGAAAATGACTGCAGGACGTATGAATATGAAAACAAAAGCCTCTATGAATCCCTAACGAGCAGTAATGCAAACGAGGCAGTCGCTCATTATCCGTTCAGCGATTCAGAAATGTCCAAGTCAGAAGCATGCCCTGATGTGGTTTCAACTCCCACTGTGGCAGAAACATGTGAGGTATCCAGTTCACAAGAAAAACTCGTGCCAGAAAATGTGTCCCATGCATCAAATAATGGTCAGGAATCTAATACGAATTTCAAAGATGCTGTTTATTTTAATGACCTACTAACCACTGGAATTTTGAAGAGGTCTGATGAATATGTTTCACAACAATCAAACCTTAATGACCTTATGTCTATAGTCGCTAATCCTCATCATCTAGTCAGTTTTAGTGAACCCTCTACTCAATGCGCGAAATATGCTTTAAATAGAATCAGACTAACTGTTACTTGGGTATATGAGGACCCAACATTATTTCGCGGGGGAGGACGGACGCAGAAAATTCTAAAATCCGGATCCTCAAAAAAGAGGAGGAGGTGTTAGGTATGCACAGGAATATGCCAATAATTGTCGTGTCAAGTTGAATGGTGTCCTTGGACGTTAAATGTACATTCCCTATTGGTCGATATTTGCTTCACTTGTTTAATATTGTGAAAATATCGTTTTCTATTTTTATGGTACGATGTGGTCTGCTTGGTTAGTAAATAAACAGAGTGTGTTTGAAATATAATGATTCATATCTCAGAGGCTGTTGTTCTGGATTCAACTGGCTGGGCTAAGCAGGGAAGCAGGGCTAATCGGGACTCTAGGTCGTTCGTACGTGTTTACGTGTCACTAAATCGATCGATATAAAACGCTGCACATCTAAACCTGCAGTCACACGTTACAACAATCACATACTAACAACGGTTAGAGAATCAATGAACACAGAATGGTCTTTTTATTTTTCCAAATTGAAGCATTCAAAATATTTGATCATCATTTCAGTCAATCACTTTATAAACAGGATATTACTTAATCATTTAAATTTGAATCCAGATGTCACTTATAGTGACCTCATTCAATTTGTAATATATTGAAAGTGTTAATAATTTTCATCGTTGTCTAGTGATACCCATTTCACGATAGTTTATTTGCTGATATCATCTCATGATAAAAATGGACAGTGAACAAGGTCTCACTTATTATGAGGTTTTTAATTCATCAAAAAGCATCATACTTTACTTTGACATCAATTAAGCGAATTAATTTGTCTTAATTGATGAAATAACAGATAAATTACAATCTAAAGGTTTCATTGAATTATTCATAATGAATGGAACAAAACATACTTATTTAAGATAATCAACAGACAGCTTAGTTCTGTCTTATTGAAATTTGACAATTCCATAGTAATTAGTAGGATTAAACTTGACTTAGGTATTCGAAAATAATCAATAATCAAATTTCAACTGCATTGGTAAATGAATGAGTGTTAATTCTATCGAAGCGTCCAAGTAACCCCGATTGAGATACGCGAAAAATCGAAGTCCCAAAACAACGATTTGTCTACAAAAGCGGTTCTTTATTAAATAATACACAAAATTTAGTTACAAACCTCAACTTGTGAGGTGTCTAGGCGTTTAAACGCGTCGTCCAAGAATGAAAATAGCAAAGGCTTCCTGTAAGAGTAACATTAAGAATGATTACAACATACGATAGTCCAAAGACAGCCGATAGCTGTGTCTAAATCTGGTAACAGTTTATGAACAACCGAAACTCGAACCAAGAGCAAACAATATGGAAACTGTTGCATTCAAACAAATGCACAAAACTGTGGACAATCGTTACAGTAATTAAATTACAGTGATTATAATGATAAATACAATTATAAGTAAAATAAAC